TTTTTTTTGAAAAGCAAGAGCTCCTCAGATCAAACCGAACACATGCGGAGGTATATCGCGTAGTGATTTCCACTTTATATTAGCGGCGCAGTTCACGATAATTTCGACGTACCCTTTTTAGGTTGAAAAGCGGAGGTGTTGATGTAAAGGAGTACAACGATGGCGAAGGAGACGAGGAAATTCGCCTACTTCAAGCTCTTCAAAAGTGGTGGAAGTGGAGATTGTACGAATTCACCGCGACAGGAATGGCATGTAAAGGGTTTTTGGACGAGATATAACTTGTTCCCATCTTGTAAAGAGCAGACTCTATCAAGCCAGAACTGTACAGAACTGCCTTTCGCTGTCGCTATGGGTCATGACAAGTTGTTTGAACTTCCTACAGTGGTTCCCTTATGAATGATGCAGCCTCAATAGAGCCGTTGAAACTCGTCCAATAGGAGTGTGGTATTCACACGACACAACCTCTGGATCCTTACTGTGCCGTATCCAGGACGTTTTTCGCCCTTATCACGACAGGTTTGGTATGAAGGGGAGCCTCGAGTTCATTTTATAGGATATCACGAGAACCATTTTTATCGTGAACTGTGCCGTTAAGTTCTATTATAACAAACCTGTACGGCGGAGGAGTATGAAAGATTATGCTCATCTTAGTATTATGGTTTACTATCAATTGCTACTATTGTAAAATATATTAACAAGACCGAACCCAGCCACTTTCTGAACTTATACCATACTTCTATCAGTATCAAGTGATTCATCTATGAACTCTGCAGGCAAATAAATGCTGCCTCTTATTGATTACATAAGAAAGTAATCAAAGTTAATGCATTCCTGAGTGCTGTGAAAACCCCGAGAAAAGTAAGTAAGGGAGAAGAAGACGCACAGATTGAAAAGTACTTTTTACGGTTAGTTTCCATTGAATTTCTGGCTGGAATCAAAACGCCTTCAGCGCCCCTGTAGACGAGTTCCCTACAGCCTAATCTTATAAGAGCATTTAATCGCAGAAATAGTCATCGATTTCCTATTACATTTTTTGATTTATCAACCTTGTTGACTGATCGGGGAAGTTTACAAGTTTTTTTAAGCATTATATGAGTTTTTCGTCATTTTGTAAAAGTGGGAGATTCAAACATGGCAACTCGAGTGCGCCATAACTTTGAGCTCAATCTTCCGCTTCATGCACGCCATAGTAGCCAAAAAAGAAGATGTAGAAGTATTTAATCGCTCCTTTCATAGACTTTTTTTTACAGTAGCAGATGAGCAAATGTTGCAGCATAAGAAACTTGCAAGTCGGGATTCAATTAGGCTTTCAAACGAAAATGATTGAAACTTGGAAGCTCGGGCACGAGACCCATATAATCGCATTTGTCTAGAGTGCGGCGTATGTGGTGAAGCTGTGATTGGTGGCCTCGTGAATGCACCAATCACAAGCGAGCTTTGCAAATAATACGCACTAATGTGAAATCATTAATAAAAATGAACTAGATAAGTAAGAATAAAAACAATTTTTGCTTAGGAGGAACATGAGGCATGTCAAAATGCCATCTATAACGTTTGACTGATTAAGCAGCAAGTCATACCGCTCCAAATAGATCAAAACAAAGCGGTCGATGAGGAGTGACAGAATAAGATAAGTTTATGGACCTAGACTTTTGAAAATGTGGTTTTTCGAGAAGTTAAAGAAATAGAAACAAGTCATGTGAGAGTGCTACCGTTTATTTGGTAAATTTCACTTAGCTCACGATGCGAGTGTACTCTTATCATAGAGATAATAAGTAGAAAAAATCTTATTAGTGTTATCTTGCACAATCTGTGGCAGAAAATAAATTGTGATCAACTTCCGATGCAATAAATTGACGTCAAACAGTATACTTACTTGTTGCGGAGGATATGCAGCGCCATCTTCGGTAGCTGTTGAGCAAGCATCCAAAGATCGATGACGCCTGAAATCAATCGATTCGTATCCTTACAACATAGGTAGTTCTATGTCTACTAGTCTGAGTGTATTTACCGATTCCTTGGGGAGGTTTGGTATTTTTGCTGGGTTGGCATTGGGCAGTACATCTAAATAAATTAATGTAAAATTTGAATAATTATTTTGGCTCCTACTGCATATTTAGTCAGTAATTTAACAAGCACAGTGCAAAAACTCCTAATTCCCATTTCCAGAAGCTTGGCGAAAGGCCAAAATTCCCAAAGAAATATTTTCTCAGGGTAGATACAAGAGAACTACAGCACGCGCGGTCCCAGGATGCTATCCCGCGTTTATACTTGCCTAGGCTAGTCAAGACTTCCATCCGTTGAGGGCCTTTAAACGGCGCCAGATTAGTTCGGTAAAATAAGCATAATTGTAAATTGATTGTAATTGTATATGGTATATTAAATATTGTAATCATTGATTTGTATATCGTCCGGCTTACGCAAGCCATTGTACATATCAGACAGGGGATGCAATCGGTACAACGATTCTGAACGGGAATCCGATGCGCATTCTGAAACGGGTTCGGTCTGCACTAGAAAAAAAACTTTAACATTCTAACATTCATGTGGCTTCAGCATACCAGTAAGAAGCCGATCATACGTTTCCAGACATCTCCCTTCCCCCACATAATCTCCATGCTTCTCCCAAGAGTCGTTAGAAAGCGTGCTCCAATCTTAATAAGCGATGCGACCGCCAGCAAGAATCGCATTCCTTCGTTATGAACAGAAAACTCTAGAAGTAGGAAGAAAAGGGCCCTGCTGATAAGGGCAACTTCCTCAATACCTATGTTGTGTTTACATTCTCTACATTTCTAACAATCCGCTCCGTTCGTTCTTCGTCAACATCCATGTTTTTGCTTATTTTGAGGCTTCAATGATTGACGCACAATTGGGAGCCAGGATGCCGAATTTTTGGATTTTAGGGTTTGAACTTTTGGGACGAATTCTCGGCATTTGTGCGTCAGTCATGAAGGGTTTGGTAGCTGCTACCCTAGGACGGTGAACATTCAAAAAAAGTTTGAGAGTACGAAGGGCCAAGGACCTACAGAGTTCAGGCCAACGGATCACTACATCATCTGATTAATTGGGACCAGTCTAATCGGAGAGCATGATCACAGTCATCCCATGTTGGCTGATACTAAGTTAAACGTAACCGTGAAGTGCTCGAATTTTAATACAGTTTTGTTAGGGTGGTCAGAGTGTAGGGGCGAACAGCCAGCGGCGTATTTCTACAACAGCTTGCTCTTCTCTTAGTCTCGTTTGAAATTTTTACTTCAGAGTTGGAACTCTTTGGGTAAGTTACTTTAGTTTGCTTTAGTTACTGGTCGAGGTTCCGTTTTGCATTTCCCGATGCCACCACTATTTTGCAATTCGAAGTGGAATGCAAGTTCATGGCGCACCCGAAAGGTTTTGCGTTTCGAGTTCTTCCCTCCCTTTACTCCTAGTGTGTGCCTCAGCGTCTGAGCATACTCTTCATATCTTCCCGTTTGTATTCACTGTTTGTTTTTACTTCTTTTCTCATCTTATTGGGCTTTTACACTATGCCAATATTGTTTTTTTAGAAGTGTTCAGGGTCAAACATTGCTTCTCGTGTACTGAAATCCACAGAGCCTCACCATATTTTGACCAGTAGGCGGTGCCATCATTCCAGGAGCCATTAACACAGGCATCATCTGACCGTTTGACGCTGGAAAATTTCTCTTGTGGGAAGTGAAAAATTAGAAATTAGGGAATAAAAGGTAGGATTTACCGCTCATCTGCATAGGCATCATGAAGACCATCTGCTGTTGTGGTTCATAGACGTTACCATTGGGCTTTAATGTCTCATGGGTTCTCACTGATCGTTGAGAACCTGGTGTACAATGAGACGATGGTGCGAGTTCTCTCATTGTTCCTACATCTGATGGATAGGAATCGATCGAATCTTCCTGAAATCGTGGATAAATGAGAAACTTACGTTTTCTCAGCCACAGATTTCTTAGTAGGTGTTAATATTATTTTATTCAGGTGCAGGACGCTTTAGTTGAGTGTAAGAGTGTAGCAAGCGTTTCTGATTGGTTAGAACGACACATTAGCCAATGAGGGACTCGCTAGCGACGTCTATAAGCGTATGTATTGCGGACCTTACTGGTTACACATACCTGATTGTGACGGTAGGTTGGTGGAAGGTTTTCATGGGGTGGATTGTAACGTGGAAGACTGCGAGATCTCACATTTTGACGTGGTAGCGACCTTGTCGCCTTTAATCCATACTTTCAGTGTGGTTTTGTTTTAAACTACAAATTCCAATCGCTTGAACTCACCAAGGCTTCTCGGTCAACATAGTTGTACTGGTCTGAATCCGCGCCATTGTTTAGGTAGTGTCCAGAGTAGTTTTGCTGGTACGTTGGTCCAGCTTTTTGGTACGCCTGTAAAACAGTTATGTCTAATTGAATATTGGTCCTCAAAGTGAGTAGGCGGTAACCGCTCAAAGGTGGGCTTTTGATTGAAATTTTAGGGTCCTCAAGCATTGATCGGGCTCGTTTGAGGATGCGCCATGCATTCAATACGATTCAAATTTGCAGTGTGGTGGCATGGATTTTTGAGTTTGATTTGAATAAGATGGAGGCCTGCTCATGTGCAAGTCAGTCATTTGATAGTCTCATAGCATCTTTTACTAATGAACCTACCCCGAAAAGAAAGAAGGCTCGTTTGGCTTGGACAAAGCAATCTAGGATCTGATCCCGCCACCTTAGTCCCATCCGGGCCCATCTGGCTTCTCTTCTCCCCTTCTTTCCTACCCTCCTCCGCCTTCGCTAAAATTTTTATTTACAAAAAAATAGTGGAATTAAGTTATCAGATGTATTTGATGCATCTTTAGCAGCTATGCACGTACTGGTTCGTAATCTGATGGTCCATAAGCACCTCCTTTGATGGATGCAGCGATTTCATGTGCAGACATTTCGACGGCCATTTCGTGTGGTGATAACACCTGAATTACCAATAACAGCTTTTTCCAGAGTAATACATGGTGCTCTGAAAGAACAAAAATAGAAACAACCGGTTCACCTGGTCAAAGACTTCGTCCAAGAATCGATCCACATCTCGGCTGCTGTTCGGTACGGGCATGTTGCGGATCCGGGAAGCAACGGACATCGTCGAGTAAACGCTGGGCACATAGTCACTTCGACTAACGTTCATGGCCCGTGAATCACATTCCCCAACTCTTGTGGCAGCACTTGAGTAGGAGCGATATGAGTCGAACTCCGGGCGGTTGACGGATTTCACGGTATCGTAGTCACGGCTACGGTCTTCGCTGGTATTGCTGTGGCTCTGGGTACTCTGATCACGACGGTGTGACATCGGTGCAGCAGCATGGTCCTCTTCCCTCCAGTGAGAAGCTGAAAGACACCCATAAATACAAAACAGGTCTCTGATATCGATTAACCCCGTATTGGGACGTTTTACTTTGCCTTTCACTACAATCGTAACGAAAAAGGCGGAGCCGCGATTGCTCATTGGTCAACCAGGTGGTCAACCAATAACGTCAGTTCGTGTGAATTGTTATCAAATAGCCCCAAACCTTCTTCTCGATGCGGTGCCATAACAGGAACAGCAGGAGCAGGAACCAGTACAGGTTGTTGAACCAAAGCCTGGTTCATTGGCGCAGAGAACATCATTGGCTGTGGTGCCATCATCACAGGAACATACTGGACCATTTGCTGAGATAGAAATGAGGGTTGGTTGAGGTAATTTTTGAAAAGATTTCCCAAAAGAGATTGTTTTTATTACCACGTTGGGTTGAGGGTAGTATTGATTCGGCGGTGTTGGATTATGGCGTTCCATTCGCTCCTGGGAGGCAGTGTACCTGTAAAATCAACTTAGTAGTTACAATATTTTTAGGCGCCTTCCAAATAGGGTGGCTCTCCAAAGTTCAGGAACAGGTTTCAATTCACGTCTGGGTTATACCGAATGGAAATAGAGGGTTCAAGGGTTCATCCAGAGAATGATCCTAGGGGACAGGAGTCTCCACAGGTCGATCAATCCCGTATGAGATGTCACCCCTTCCCTCGTCCCCCAGGCGACTTCCATTAATCAATTTTGTATGCCCGGCTACGCTGGCTGGCATTAATTTGCGGATGAAACGATATTGAGCAAAATCAAGTTAAAACCAGTCAGGATGATCTAATAGGCTATTCCAGTGCCAATTTGCAGTAGTAATAAAAAGATATACCGGCTCGGGTGAGATTTGCTTCAGCATTCGGCTCCTGACCTCAAAAGACAGCGCCTGCCTCATCTGTCTTTCCTACATCGTCTTTTTTCGGGTCAAACTTATATTCAACGTTAACAAACCAGGACTTATTGTGAGTAATTCTGAAATCTTTGGCTGCTCACTCACCGATGCTGTGACTGCGATGGAGACCGATATGGTGACGGTTCGAACTTCGTCATCTAAACAAACTTACTTCAAATAGAAGTAAAGGACAAAGTAAACATTCACACATAGATGGACTACTTTTTGCTGACGCCCAAGTGGTCGTGCTCAGTACTTAGGGGCAGTACGTGGGAAGAAGCTCGAATGTTCTGCACATAATGATTGCAACGAGTCGTAATACAGCTCGGATGGCACTATGGAGGCGCAAGGTCCTGAAACGGCCTAACCACTTTTAAGCTGTAGTAGCCCCGCCCCAGGGCAAGTCCCGCCCCGAAAATGTAGCACTTAAATGGACAGGATACCTATAAGCTCTCTAGAACTCGCCTTAATATACCAATGGGAAAAGATTTGGGAATGCGCCTAAAAATGCTATGGTTTCGGTTCTCCGCTGCCCATGGAATGGCCCTTTATGACCCCTTGCCGAGCGGTTCTAGGATTACACCTCTAAAACGAATAGCTCAACAATTCGCTTAATCACTCACCGAACTGTTGGGAACTGGCTGTTTGGGCAGCTCAGGTGGGATGTCTTCGGATCGCTCTCTCCGAGGGCTTCCGTACGAAGGATAGCGAGTTCGTGGCGGTGCATCTAGGACAGTTAAACCTTGTGTAAGGGTTCCTCTGCATGAGAGCTATAAGTAACGCTCACCATTTGGTTGTTTGTGTTTAACTGGTAAAGCGTAGCAGTAATCAGGTTCTTGCTCCGCCTCGTGGTATACCTTCCTGTACAATTGCGGTGATTGGTTGGCGTTCCTCAAAGAATCAAGTGACCTATCACGACGTGACTCGCACCGGGACCCAGAACGGTTCGCATCCATGGAGCGATCCCGGCTTTCGTTTGCCTGTCTCATTTGCCGTTTCATCACAGGGCTCCTGTATTACATATGTTTTCCATTTATTTGTTTATTTGTTTGTTTATTTATACACTCAAATGAGTGCGCCAATAGATTGAAGTGAGGACAGGTATACAACTATAGAAGAGCCCAACCAAGATCAAGATAAACGAGCATTTAGTAAGGAAATTCATGCAGTATGAACACTTGAAGACTTACAGTACTTTAACCTGAGTAGGAGTAACTTGTATGTCAACTTTTTTCTTGTTCACAGGTGGTAGTGTCCTGTCGGTTGGATAGCTGTAGAAGAAAGACCTAAAACATAGTTTAGTAGTTTCATGAATACTTATGAAGTACTGAAGGCTCCTTCAGCACGTTGTTCTTGTTGCTGGCTCTTTTTGAGAGTGTTGTTGGGCAAATGCTCAAATAGCATGGAAATTATTTGAGTAACTAAGTAGTAAGGGTCGGAAAACTGGGTTTAGATCGGTTTCCAGAGAGTGCCTCTCCAAAAGTTTCTGTGAAATAGAAGGAGCGTGTTTGCTTATAAATATAGAGCCCGAACCGGCAAGGTTCCAACCTAGAAATCGATCAGTTGTTACTGCACTACTCTGTGAAAACTTGACCAGTATTTCTGAATAAGATGATCCTCAGAATTTCTGCCCACCTCTTATTCTCCTCTTTTCCATGCTCTATCTCGGAAATAACGTCGTGAAGGAAATGAGCACCAGTAGGGCAGTAAAGCACGTTGTCGGTCTCAACCTCTACACTCCAGCCACTCGGGTTGCCGATCCCTCTGAAATTGAAAACGACATTTTTAATCGGGAAGTAACCGCTGGAATTAAGGGGAACCAACCTGTGTCTCAGGACGTTATTCGCCAGCTCCTCATTTGTTATCCATGGATGGGCTTCTACCATGTGATTTTGGCCATCTTGGCTTGTCACCTCAACGGCTGCATTATGAAAACCGCAAAGCGCTCCCATCTCTAGACGCGAAGCGGGTAGAAGACGAGCGGTCTGCAACCAAACATAAAGCAGTGATCTTACAATAACGGATAATTACAATACTGTTGGAAGAAGTCCAAAAGTACGGGCATTTATGGAACAAACTCAGCATAGACATCTAGTAAGATGCTAAGCTCTGGGTGGCCTTAATCACGCTCTGGTCGCTAGCTGAAAAGAAACGCACCTGGTTCCCCAACATGTTCATTCTTCTTGCGATCGTGTTGAGCAACTGGGTTTGTAGTGGCAAGCGTTGTTCACCACAGAAACTAAAGTGCTACATAAATCCATAAACTGGTATTATCGTTTATATCATGTTCTCATTCCAATGCTCAGGGACTTGATGGTGACGCCTCCGAGCTCTTTGAATTACCCATTAGGTTTATGCTGTTTTGCTGGTTCACAGCCGGTGGGAAGGTTGAGAAGACTCTCATTGAAAAAGTGGGGTGCAAACGCTACAGTTAGAGTAGCACCGGCAATCCACCACGTGCGAAGAACACCTATGATTAGTGGGCTGTAGTGCTCGCCAATCAGAATTGAGCTCATTAGAGCACCCTCATTTTATAGCTTATGAAATGAATTCATGCTATAATACAGTAAATGGCGATCGAAAAGTGCCTGTTCACCTTATCAACATAGGAAGGACGTTCTCAGTGGGCGCAAACACTCCAACTGCTTGTAACAGTAGACGACAACATCGAGACGTCGCTTCCTTGTCAGGATTGCGATAAATCTGGTTGCATATTTGTACAAAGATTTCGTCACGTTGACATGGATTGTTTATACCCTGCAATACTTACAAGTACAGATATAGGGCCAGTAGATCCACCGGTGATTTCGAAATTCTGAGCAGAAATTGTTACATACCATCTAGGAGCTAGAAATCATTTTGCGGTAAGAGAAAACTAGTTGTTACTTACCTGTTTTACAATATAACGAGCAAGGTCGTCCAGTTGTGTTCGGTTCAGGGTTTGATCGTTCATGTACTTTAGTATGAGCTTAAATACTTCGATCGATAAACGAAAGTCGAGATCGTTCTCCTTGTGAAGGAAGGGCGTCAGAATCGGTTCACGCCTTGGCTCGAGCAGGTGTCCCTGAAATTCATACTCTCTGGTTCACCTGGTACAAAAGACCATGGGCGATCGAAATCGTTAGATGGTACGGAATGCGAAAATCGGAAGGGTTCCAGTGGACATTTAATGACCGCTGTAGTTCTTTGGCTTGAGCTTGTAAATTGTAAGTATCCTTCACTTGTTAGGCCTATTTCCCTCTTTATGAGTAGTTCTTAGTTACAAAACAAATTTGTTGTTTGATATTTGAAAGTAAATTCATAGAAGTAAGGTGTCTATGAAGTGAAGTGAAAGCTACTTCTTTTCGAAACGATGGTTTGTAACCTACTTTGAAGTTCTCCTCGGCGAATTTCTCGATCGTCACTGGCTCGACGATGCCAATACGACTCTTTAGTTTTACTGGCAAATAGTCAGTAGTAATTTTCATGTTTCCAGTCTTCGGCTTCGATTCGCTGGGTGATTTATCAAGCTGTTTACTGGGGAAGTTTTCCACATCGAAACATCCCAGCAGGGCGCCCGGACACTTCTGAAATAAAGATTATTAAAGTGGTTTTCAAAGGAATTATGAAAGGGTATAAGATTTGTTCATAAGAAGGGAAGGCCAACTGGGAGTACTACTAATTGGTGGTGAGAACTGGAAATCTTTCGACACATTTCTCACTGATTTTACTATCGTGTAGAGTCCATGAGTCACGACAACCCACCAATCAGGAAAGTGCCGAGGCTTTGCCAACTCCGCCCACATACTCGAGTGGTACTCACCTGGTCCGGATTGCTAGTCAGCAACGTTTCATGATAAGCGTTAAGACGACGATTTCTCTTCGTCTGATTACTAAGATTCTTGAACATCTGCTCGCGGAGAGCGCTGCACTCCTTCCTGGAATCGTTTTATCATCACTGTGAGTAATTATTATAATTGAATTCCTTTACACAGATCCAGATACAGATTAAGTCCCCACAGCTGGTTTATTAGTGCAAAACATACAGTAGTCGCAAAATTTAAAGTCTAGAAAACATCAAAAGGGCATTAATGGATTTTAAAATGTCATTAAATAGAGGAACCCAACATAAGGGTCAAGAACCCACTTGACCCTGCTTTGCGAGCCATAATCGTATGATATAAAAAGGGTAGTGATGCATTACTATCTTCTACTGTAAGGTTATAGCGTAAACCCACGGGTTGAACTCCTGAGCTAATGAGGACTCCCGAGCGGAATATGACTAAAAAAAGATAGAAGGTAAGGGTTCCACTTAGTCTTTTCATTATGTTGACCCCTCCCCCTCTCTCCCATCACTACCAGAACTGTATTCCGAAGCAGCTTAATACATTCAGTGGTGTGAGGAAAGCTAAGTCAAAAAGGATTAGGGTCACCCATCTCTCGCCTTCCCACACCATCGCTACCTGGCAAATAGTACTAGCATCTAGGATTTACTGTTTTACTGCTAGCAAAGTGGAGGTTGCTGCTCTCGGAATGGAAAATATGATAGGTGCTTAATCGGCGAAGTTCATTTGTCTTTTCCACTGTTTAGGGCTCTTTTAGGGACAACGGTGAATCCTTCATCGGATTTCAAACTCACTCGCTAAGAGAGATTTAGAAACACGGGCTAGCTAGGAACCTTGGTAAAAGCAGTAACCATGAAAGAATCCTTTTTTCATTGAACTTTGCCAAAAAGTCGTAGACTTGAGGAATCTTTCATGAACGAGATCCAAGGCTATCGGAAGCATTTCGTACTCACCTCGCTTTCCATCCTCGAAGTCCCGCTTGTAGTCGTACGATGGCCCGACGCTTACGGAGATATCCCTTACGAGCAACATATGTTCGCATAGTTTTCTGTATGACATAAGCTGCATCTCTTTGGGTTTTCTCCCTGAGCGCCTGTAGGTGATCAGCTAGACGGTCTCGTAGAAACACATAGCTGGTTCCTGAATATCGTTCACGGAAGTTTGACAGAATTCTGCTTATAGTTTTCAGAAGGATGTAAAAATTTAAAAAAAAAACGAGAAGAACCCCACCAATTTGGAAATCCTTGGCAAATTTGAGCCCCTGCCCATCTAAGATGTCGACGATGATTTCCTTCTGCTTCTGACAAAGGGCAATGTCTGATGGTAAAAGGCAACGATAGCTGAAAAAAATCACTGCATACTATCTAGTAAATGATTCGATCACGGAATTAGTTATGAATTACTCGAGTTAATGATTACCGATAAACTTATTAGCGGTTTCATTCCTAATGCGGTCCCCTCCTGACATTTGCAGGGGTTCTAAAAATGAACTTTGCCCAGGATTCTTCTAATGAATAAAATAGCGCAGCACTGACAATTATAGCAAATAGGATCGCTACTCAGGGTGTGGTAACTTCTCCCCGGAAATCGCGTCGCGATCGCCGCATCGTTCGCTTGCAGTCGCGCGCTATGGAAGGGATAGATTGAATTTCCAGTGGAAGGGTACAGTAGCCGCCGTTGAACCAGCGAGTAGTGGCGGGAAAAGTACTGCCACTCCTAGCTATATAGCCTACTCGATAGTTTGGTAGGAAGTTGCAGAAAATTTCCCGTTTCACATGAAATAGAAGAAATCTACCAACTCGCTTTGATGATTGAAATCACCGGAATATCTGTAAAAATCACCTCTGAGCGAATCTCTCGAACGGAATTCGGACCGGATATCCTACTCGACGGAACAGTAGAGTTTCCATGATACAGAGCGACTTCAGCTGCCGAGATAACGACGGTACATCAAGACGAGCAGGAATTCGTTCGCTGTTGCACTTCACACATCGTACAAAATGCGAATTTCCACTGTAAACTCTAACTTCACTATGTGGTATGGACAGAGGGGAGTGGCCAAACAGTCTGGGCGGGACTTCTACGGCGTTAATCGATTCAGCCCAAACTGAGACTTTTACCTCAGAATTTTCTCGATCATCGCCGTCGATGCAGTATTGAACTGCTGTGCAGCGTAGACGACATAGTCAGCACCTTCCTTTCCATTAGCTATGGGCCGGAATAGCATAGAAATTACCTGTAAAATAAATTAATTGAACAAAAATTTCATGGAACAGGGAAAAATTTATGAAAGTACCGGGTTTTGGCTTTCGGCCAAGATCTTCACCACTTGACCTGGCAACGAACGCTTGTTCCGCTGAACAAATCCATGAACGTTGTACCATGTAGTACCGAAAAAGTGTCGCACGGACATCTGGAGGCGATCTTTGTTCTTGGCCTAAAAGTCACAAATGATTGGTTTCTTTTGAAATTGATTTACATATGAAAAAGTAATCCTTGATGGCCAGATAAAAGGGTCACCTTTCCATATACGTTTTTATCAAGATGGTTGAGGTTGCAGTGCCGGAGGTATGACTCATCAGACGCCTAAAGCAAAGACTTGATGGAGGCTTCATCATCGGTAATCAATATATCGATTTTTGGGAATATCTGATCAGTACATCGATGTTGTAGAAGGAAAACCTACTTTTGGGAATTTGCATTCATCATCGATAAGGTAGAGTAAGCCGTAAGGTTTCTTGCAGAGCAAATCAACAGCTTTCTCATTATCGAGTGTTGATGGCATCTAAACAATGATAACAATATTTACACGAATTTTGTAATCTGAATATTCTCTAAGTGCTGCACTATTTGGCCATTCACTCGACGTTTACTACTACAAATGTACTATTACTGCAAACCATCGGGTCAGAAGGAAGGTCATTTCATTCACGGGTAAGCTTACCGTAAGATTGCCGGCTCTGGAACATCTAAAATGTGAAACTACTAAGTTGACTTGGAGGAAGGGGAGAGTGGAGTGAGGTACTTGTGATTGGTGGAAGCACATGATGGCCAATCACAGCCCACACCCCGCGCTATCACGACCTCCCTTTCTCAGTTATGTCTTACCGAGAAAAGACCTCGGGTATCCATTATTTCTTTTGTTCGAGAAGGGAATCCGCCCATACTTTACTTGAGCTTTTCATTTCCCCCTACTATAGTCATGACACCTACGCAGCTACGAACTTATGCGTCAAGTAAGTCCTACGAAGGTTCCGAAATGGAGGATCTTTGAATAAACGAAGATTCAGTACCTTCCAGTCGAAAATCAGTCCCTCGCCGACATAATCAGCAATTTCATCGTAGAAAGTCTGTTTGACAAAAGCGTTCTGAAGTTTTTCATTCACACTGTTGATCAGCAACTGTTCCAGGCCGTTGTTGTTATAACGCTAAACAAGTGATGAGTAAACAATCGGCGGAATAATAAGCAGTAAAATATTGAAATACTCACTTCAATACCGTAACAATCAACGACACTGATAACAGCGTTATGATCAGCGCATTTTAGATGTAATGAGATCCGATTCAAAATCCAATTGAATACTAGTTCGTAAAGGGACATAGCCAGTGCATCACGTGCATCGAGTGCTTGACCAATACTGTATGGCATCTTGGTTACTCCTTCATCTGTTTTCTGAAAGAACAGTTTTTTAGGAAAGCCAATTTCATTTAATCAAAACATACGAGGTCGTTGAAGTTTTTCACTTTGCCAGTATTATGCACCTGTCAATCGATACTAATCAGGATTACTGGTTTTTGCGCAAAGGGCAGTTTATGAGCGCTACAGGCAAATGTAAATTTTAAAGCTGCACCTTGTGTTACAGGGAACGGAAATTCCCTGTTTCATATTATATTCATTCAAGTGCTACATACCGATAGAACAAGCTGCACTGTACCAAGGATGGAAAATGGTCTAAGTGGACCTACGAGGATATAGAATACTCCGGAAAAAAAGTAAACTGTGTAAACAAATAAAATGGTGGCAGTAAAAAAAAATAGAAAAAAGCAAAAAAAAAAACCAAGCACAGCTTTATGGATGATAAACAACAAAAGAAGT